TGCACAAATCTGTGCACTGGGCCTCTAGTTGAAGTATAATTGACAATTAAAAACTGTACATGTTTAAAGTGTACAACTTAATGATTTAAGTATACATTGTAAAATAATCACCACAATCAAGCCAATTAACATACTCATCACCTCATATAGTTACCAATTTCTTCTTTTTTTCTGTGATAAGATCATTTAAGATCTACCTTCTTATCAAATCTCAAGTATAAGATACAGTATTGTTATTGTTAACTATAATCACATTGTCATACATTAGCATGTATTCATATTGCATAACTCAAACTTTAGCCCTTAGCAAATTTTCAATGGTCAAGGCTAGAGTTCATTTGAAAATATCTGTTATATACTAGACTCAAATTAGCAGTTAGGAATACTTTTAAAGTAATCACATAAGTATTCTCATTGGTGATTTGTGGGATTAAAATAACCTTTGTAAAATTTGATTTCAGTAAGACTGCACCTACAGTTTGAAATAACTCAGCATTAAACACTTTCTGTAGAGAGTTTAAATTTTTCTAAGACTTTCTTTTTCTAATTTGAAGGCTTAATTTGGTTGACAAGCCCACTTCTTTCTAGTAATCCTAAAATTTTAAATCAGTCATTCATATAATGGGTGAAAATAATCTTGGTAGCATCCGTACAAACTTAACTTTACATGGTGCTAAATCAATTTATTAAGAAGCAAGCAATCTATGTTAAAATTCTTAAAAAGAAAGATCTACTTTCTTTTTAAGAAGTGTTTTACTTATAACAAAAACACAAAATTTCTATTAATTGGATGCCATCATTTGCTTTTCCCATAAAATGAGATTTGGCTTATATTCAAATAAAATTCATGCACCCATGGTAGTTAAAAACAAAAGGAAAGGAGAAGGAAGATAGGTACTATGCTAATTAATTTAGGTGTTATCTCATGTAATTTCCTTAACATCCCTATGATGTGGATGTAGTTGTTCTACCCACTTTACAGATGAGGTATCTGAGGCATAAGTTTTTAAAATGTGCTCCTGTTTTCACAGGGAGTTAGCATTAGGCCAATTAGAACTCATATTTATTAGGCTTCAAATCTTGTGCTCTACTACAATCCTACTCTAAGTTTGTGTGTTTATTTAGATGACACAATATCTACTTAGAAAATACCACATACTTTTCTAGGTCAAGCTCAAATTTATTACTTTGAATAAAATCCCTGAAAAATTGCAGGAGTAGTAAGAAATTCAGTTAGGCAAAAAAAATGAAAAGGGTTGAAAGGGGATACTGTTAGAAAAGAATAGATGGAGGCCAAAAAAGGGCTTCACATGCCAGGTTAAGGACTTCAGGTTTTACCTTATAAACCAATAGTTCTCAAATCTTAGTGTGCATCAATCAGAATACACCAGAGAACCGGGTACTATCCTCAGAATTTCCGATCAACTTGTGGCAAGAAAGAAAGAGATCAGGACTGACTCAAAGTCTTTAGCTTGAGAAGCAGGATAGACCATGATGTCGCTAAATGAGATGAAGACCGAAGAAAGTAGATTATATGTGGAGAACCCACTAAAGTTTGTTTAAATGTATTAAACCTGAGATGTTTAAAGGCAACACAGGTAATGGGCAGGTGTAGGCAGATCAGAATTCAAGAGGGAGGGCAGGAGGAAAAATAATGAAAGAAGAGTCTACAACACAGAAATGGCTGTTCAAGCTATAACCATGGATGAAACCCATAGGGCTAGAGAATAACAAGATAACAAAGCAACAAAATGTGGAGACATTATTATTTAAGGGATGTGCATTAAACCAGTTACTAAAAAAAATGAGGGAAGAAACTCGGAACTCTCAGAAATATAAAAGAAGAATACAGGTACAGTGTGGCCTCTGGAACAAAAGGAAGGAAGAATGTGAAGACAGACTGCGGTTAGCAGCATCAAACGGTTTACAGAGAGTTATGAGTAGCTTTAACTTTTGATGAAGTTTTTCCCACTCAGAACAATAGTACCATCTATCCCATTAAATTGTATTCTAGTGGTTCCATGGAGCTGGGAACATGAATTAAGGATCTAAAATTAAAAAGTATAAACATCCCACTGTAAGGAGAGTGCTTTACAGTATAACACACTGTCACTGTAAATTATTGTTAGTAGAGTATCATGAGGATGCAAAAAGAAGCTCAGAAAGCTCCAATGACTTGTCCTTGATCGTAGAGCCATGACTGACTCAGCATGGAATCGAGTAGTCTGCCTTTTAATAAACAACCCCAGGTCAATTTAGGATTAAAATAAAACCCAAAACACTAATAAATGAATGCTAACCAAGGTCTTGATTTTCCTCTTACCATCTGTAAAACATGCCTCTGGCTCATCTGATTTCACAGGCTCAGCCTCGCCCTCTTCCTCTAGCAGAGGGTTATCAATTGTGCTGCACTCAGAGGAACTTGACTGGTTCGGTTTCTAGAAAGAAATTTACCACCCACCAGAGAATTCATTTAGAGTTCATTCAAATCTTGCACTTAAGCCATATTTACTAATCAGAGTCATGCAAACTGTTATGAAAAAAATATTAATAGTATGATGGCCATAAAAAAAACAAACACACAGAATTCAAGTAACCTTACAATGCATTTATGTTTGATCTATCTACACATCCTGTGAAAAATAATTTTTATTATTTTTATTATGCTAACAAGTATTTAGACATAATTAGCATAAGGTAATATCTTCATGGAAACTACAGCATTTGAAAAGTATTGGCCACATTTTTATTGTGTTTAATGGGAATTTCTTTATACTAATAATTATTATTTTAGGACAATCAAGATCCTAATACAATATCATACAAGTGCCAAATTGCCGACACCTGATAATTGAAAGGTCAGATCTGACAGTTGGCAGAAAAAAATTGATATTTAAAATTGATAAAAAGAAAGAAGTTAATGTAAAATAAAATTCAAACATATTTCCTCATATTAGAATATGTATCAGGATGATATAGATAGAAGCCTTTCATCGAGACCAGAAAAGTCAAATATTATATTGGAATCAAGACACTAACGACGACCATAGTAATTATCTCATCCAACACCACACATTTTAGTATAAAATTTCAGAGTGTAGTGCTGAAATTTTATAGTATAATATAGTAGAAAAGATCATAAAGTATCATTTAAAATGTCAAGAGGTAGTGGCTACTAAAGTGAGCACCACATGCAAACTCTGAAACAAAGATTTAATGAAATTAAACATGGCAGACTAACACATGAGAGGAATGGATTCATTGTCATTATGATCATATAACTGATCATAACACAAGCAAGTTTTTCCCACCCAGAACTTTATGATCAGACATGATGCTTACACATATACACATACACAGAAATTTTAGAAAAAAATACATACAGCAATTGTTGCAAAACTCTGTCAATTTTTCCTAATACTGTTTTATAAGGGGTAGAGCAGCACATCAATGGAAGAGTTCATTTTCATTCTCATTTGCTAAATAACATGTGAATATTGAAAAACTACTCATTATTAGAGCATATATGTCTCATATTAAGATTACGGCTTTACTTTGTTTAGACTCATTAAAAAATTCAAGTGCTAAAAATGAGGAAATATTCATTTCAGTTGATTAATTCTTTAATCTATTAATTTGCATTAATATCACAGGTCCAATCTAAAATATTAATTTTTAGAGATTGACTTGGAAGCTAAGTGTTCTTTATGGGTACCACATTAAATTCTCAGTGCTATTATTATCATCACTCAGTATTCAACATCAGTGAAAAAGGCATTGATAAAGTATTGTATATAATGAATGATGTAAGCAAAGTTCTTTTTATAGTGGGAGTAAAGAATTGTGAATACTCTGTTAAATTAATACTTGAAATCTATGTTGGAATAGAGGCATTATTTCTATCAGGCCAAAAAGTTATAATAATATCAGTTATGAAGAGTATCAGAATAAAATTTCACTTAAAAAGCAGGTTATTTAAACTGATTGAATTCGTCTAAAATTACTGTAAAATAAAGGACATAGAAATTAATTATGACTAAATATTCTGTAAGACTTAAGGTTATAAAACATACACTACCCCAGGAAACAATGGGAAAACTTATAATTACTAATATGTCCTATTGTGCCAATTATCACAAAAACACACAACATTTTTACTATATCTAAAAGACTACTAGTACAGTTATTTGATGTCCTCAGTTCTTGACCTCTCAGCTGCATGTGACAAAGTCCTTCAACCCTGAAAAAGAATTAGTATCTTGGATTTTGAGGCAAAGCTGTGGGAGGAATTGATGATGGGAAGAATACAAAGCCCCTCCCTGCTATTAGCCAAAATATTGATAACTAGGAAATCATTATAATGTTTTTTTTTCTCAGCCGGTAACAACTTTTAACAACTTTTTATTTATTATTATTTTAATTTCTATTTATTGTTGAAAGTAATACATATGTCCCCTTTTCTACCCATTGACCCCTCCATCCTATGTCCCTCCTCCCAGACCCTCACCACACTGTCTTTTCCCATGAGTTATGCATACATGCATATAAGTTGTTTGGTTAACGACTTTTAAATAAAAAAATGATTCTAATTTGCAGAATTCTGACTTAGACTAAATCAATGAAAACATTTTCAACTTCAATATTTTATTTTCTCACTGTTTAAAAGATCATCAACAAAGAAGACTTATGCCAAGTTAATTTATAAGCAAAAGTAAAGGTTAAGATGATTTTATGGGGTGTATATTGTCATTGAAACCTTTCCCCCCCCATAGTTTTTATGGCAATTTTCTTGTAAATTAAATTCAGAGTTTAGCTCATATTTTATACCATAAATGACAGTTATTCAATGTTATTCCTCACTGGAACAGAAATTATCAAAATATTGAATATGAACTACAAATAATTTATATGACAAGGCAAATTATCATGGCTTTTTGAACTAAGTTTAGAATGTTTTTACAAAGTCAGTGTTTTTCTGGGAATGCATTAAGTATTTACACAGTAATTATGCATATAT